TGCTCTATAATGTATTGCTGAGATTTGTATTCCTCTATAGCTGAGTGTACATTGTGCTGTATATTATACATGGGAATACAAATCCCAGTAATATATTATACACTGTATGTATAATGTATTGCTGAGATTTGTTGTTGTATTCCTATATAACTGGTGGTATTCTGCATTGCGCTGTATAATGTACTATTGCTGGGATTTGTAGTCCTCTATAGCCGGTGCCATTTTGCATTGATTGCTGTATAATTTTATACTTACCATTTCACTATATTGCACACCACACTTTTTTTTATTTCCACCGCTCCAAGCTTGCTCCTGTGATGGACTAATAGGCAAACTACTGTCACAAAATGCATGGCTGGGTACTACCATGGGAGACATATACCAAAGACAACATTGGACATACACAAATTATTTCTATAACATGCTTGTTGGATGCCTTAAAGCTGTACAATTGGCATGCACACTCTCAGGCAAAGCACACACACTGGTGACACATATTTGGCTGTTTTTTTTTTCTTTTACAATTAGCTCACATTTATCAACTTATATGGCGTGCATACAACAGAAGCACCCCAATCTGATTCACATCAGCTAACAAAGGCCTTTATCAGTTAGCTTTTGCAGCAATGCATACATCAAATGGTTTCAAATTAATAACATTTAATAAAAACTCACTGGAAAGAAAAAATAAATTCCTCAGCGCTCTGATAATTAATATAAAACCACTAAGTGTGTTTTTTTTTCAGTCCTCAACCACATTTTTATGAGAATTTGTTGGTTTTCTTTTATGCCATTGATGAAATTAACAAGAACCCTACAATGTTACTAAACATTACTCTCGGATATCACCTGTATGACTCCTGTGGGGAAAACAGGAAGGCTTTAATAAACACATTAGAGATTTTATCTGGACCGGGAAAGACGTTCCCAAATTACTCCTGCAGAGGAGGTAAAGAAATACTGGGCTTCATTGGAGACCAGAGCTCTGGGACCACTGCCACAGTAGCACAGATATTGGCCATGTATCACTATGTACAGGTGAGTAAAAGCTTTTTTATGTCAAAATTTAAGCTGATTTAGGGAACACAGTTCACATTGTGAGCAGGTCTAAATGTCATCCTGGCATACAATGTCAACACCCAGCTGTCCCACCAGGTAACATTCCGGAATTTCTGATATTCTCATTAAAACCAAAGATCAGTAATACCGTCTTCTGCGCATTTCTGAATAAAACATTCAAAGAAAAGTCCAGTTTGGAAAGCGCACTTCGGGGGGAATCTGGGTATTGAAGGCTGGTGTCCCGTTCCCCATACCACTGGAAAAATGGGCACTTGTGCGCAAGCGCACGTGCCATGGTCCGGCCACGAAAAAGAGTGACACAATGGGCTAATGGATCACACAGGGGAATCTGGGTATTGAAGGCTGGTGTCCCGTTCCCCATACCACTGGAAAAACTGGCACTTGTGCGCAAGCGCGCGTGCCATGGTCCGGCCGCGAAAAAGGGTGCAAAAACGGCGCACAAGGAGTGACACAATGGGCTAATGGATCACATCATTTAAGCTTAGCCTGCCTGTCTCCACGTTGCTGGATTGTCTCTCAGCTCCCCTGTGATTCCTTGCTTGTACTGCTCGACCTCTGACCCGGATTTGTTATCTTTGACTATTCTTGTCTGCTGCCTGTCTTTGACCTCGGATGGAACCCTGTGATTCCTTGCTTGTACTGCTCGACCTCTGACCCGGATCTGTTATCTTTGACTATTCTTGTCTTGTTGTGACCTTGGCTCGTTTGACCTGGATTACGGATCTTGCCCTGCTCTACAACCGCTCTTGGATTTAAGCTTGCACGGTGTTATCACCACTGGCACCCTTCCCACTCGCTGTCTACTTGGACTCTGTTCCCAACTCCAGAGTCCTCGGGACACGAGGTGCAAGGAAAGCCTCCTCACACATTCAGTCTCCAACCAGGTACATGACAGCTGGTGTGCGGCTCCAGGTGAAATCAGACCGGGAGTGTCTGGTGTGTATCCTAGAAAAACAAAAAGAGAGAAGTGGAGCCGCGCAACCTAGGACAATAAGGTGGGTGTTTAAAGGGGCAACACAATATTCACTGGTATGGACTCACATGTGGCGGGATTTGAAGGAAGCTCAGCAGTATGTGACCATGAGAAGTGGTGTGGTGTCAGGTGGGTCATCCAGTGGCTGTGAGGGACTAAGCTTAGACCCCTGGGCGGGGAAAAAGGATTCAGTACCAAATTGGCAGAGGAAAATCGAAAGATAGAGCAGACAATGTGTGTAAGTTGATGTTGCAATGGAAGAGGAAAACCATGTACACTCACCCTCACAGCTAATGATGTTAATCTTGCATGAGAGGTGTTAATGTTGGCTTCCCATTGGTGTTCACGAAGGGTGGAAGGAGTCTTTCAGGATGTATAACTGCTGAACGGCATTAAGAAAATTTTTTGCTAAGGATACAATGTGATAGATCCTGTAATATTATATCAGAAATCATCACTGATTACAAAACACGTCTGCTGAAAGCTGGAATGTCATGTTCTCCTAGCCAGCTACACCATGTTATTATGTATCATTCTGCATTCTGTTCTTGTATGATAGATCAGTTATGGAGCAACCAACCTATCACTGAAGGACAAGACTGTTTTTCCGACCCTGTTCCGGATGGTTCAAAATGATTTGGTCATTTATTCTAACTTGGCTCAAATGCTGAAGAACTTTGGATGGAACTGGATAGGAATTATTTCATCTGGTGATGACAGCGGGAGAGAAGAAGTTATGGTTTTAAGTAAAGTCATGACTCTCTATAAAATTTGCATTGCTTTTTATGTAGAAGTATATGGCCACGCAGAGGAGATTTCATCTATAAAAAAATTGAATGAAGAAGTAGATTCTTCAAAAAAACCATCTATCAACGTCATTGTACTATGCGGGACGTTGTTTGATTTTGAGATTGACATTTTACATTATCTGAGAGGTTATATAGATGACAGAACAGTGATCCTTAGCCCTACATGGGCGACAAGCATTGCTCTCATTGATAAACACCCAGAAATCTTTAATTGTAGCTTGTCCTTTAGGGCCAAGTCCACCAGAATCTCAAAACTTAGTGACTTTGCAAATAAATTCCAACCACATAAGAAGCCACAAGATGTGTTACTGGAAGAGATGTGGATAAAAGAATTAGGTTGTTCTTCTGTAAATAAGGATAAAAATACTCAGTTTAAATATTTATATAATACTTCACTTCATGACTGCAATGGCACAGAACATATTACTGACATCCCACACTTCCTGCATGGCGGAAACGCCCACCTAGTGTATCTGGCGGTCTACTCTATGGCTGCTGCCTTACATGAGATGCTTGGATTCATGAAGAGACAATTTTCTGGAAGCCAGTTATATAACTTTAAACACCAGGTGAGTGCAGCCCACATTAATATTAACATATTTAAACCTTAGATGTGGTGATTGCATTTGTTTTTTTCACCGATATTTGAATAACACACTTTGAATACAATCATATAACAAGTACATTTTATGGGAAAATACATAGTATCAAATTTATGCCAAATTGTAATTTTATACCAAATATACAAATACTTTCATCAAAGAAAAAAAAAAACATTAAAAACTTTAGCATGTATCTATTCAAAAAAAGAAAAAAATGATATAAAAACTACTAAATGTAACAAAGAGCACGGCATAAAATCTCTTCAAAACCACAAAGTGAATACAAATAATTTTGACTATAAGGGTATTTACTAGAAAACAGACCTTTTGCTGTTCATATAACATTGGAATGTTAGGTTGTGTAGACTTTATTGTAGTTGTTTAATCTTAGTATAACAGGCATACTGAGAAGATGGAGTAGTGGTGGCACAGCTAGTGATGGGGTGAAATAAGTCCAGCCCTCCAGAAACACCTGAGGTCCATGGCTCAATAAAGATCCATTATAGTTTCAGCTAAACTTTTGTCTTTCTGCAGAATTTGCTCCGATATATAAAAGCTGCGCGCTACTTCTCAGAAAACATTTCACAAAACTATTTTAATGAAGATGGAGAATTTGTTACGCAATATGTTATCCAAAACCATTTACTAGTCAACAAAACTTTACTCACAAATGATGTCGGATTATTTGAGCAATATACTTCCGGTGATCAGAATATTTTAATCAATGCGAGTTTAATAAAATGGAAGAATGACCAGAAAGAGGTAAGATTAAGAAGGACATGTACTGTGAAAGCTGCACCCAGAGAAGGCAAGCAGAGGGCAGAGGACTAGTCACCAGCAGGGATGAGCTTTGGGTTCTGGCTGAACATAAGTTTGTCCCCAACTCAGTCTGTTCGCAGTTCTATGAAGAGCTGAACAAAGTGGCCATATTTAGCCAGTTTTCCAATCACAAACTTCCAGCCAATATTTGTAAACAAACCAGCCGGGCATTCTTGGTGACCTCATTGACCAAATATATCCATTACCATACTTGATCAATGTCATCTCCCAGAGTTCTGGTTTGTTTACATAGTGGAAGGGGGGCTTCCAGTTTCTGATGAGTCCCCTTTGCAAACTCCCACATCCCCCTTAGCGAACAGGTTGTGGGGATGAGGCCCTTGTTCCCACAACATGGGTACAATTTAGTTTGCAAGGGAAGGGAAGCCTTGCCAACCCCACACCCCTTGCTAGGTTCTCTCTCAATGTTGAAGGCCTGGTATAGTTCATGGGGCAGGGTGCACATTTGCTATCTTCAGTTTGCTGGCCCCCAAGGCTCCATGCCTAAATAAAGGTCTGATTCAAATTTTAGGTGGAATACCTCGTGGCATTTTTTTCCTTTTACTTTATATGTAATGTACCTTCAAAAATGAGGTGGGGTTTCCCTTAAAATTCATATCAGACCTTTATTCAAACATACAGGCTAGACGTTCAGCAAAGGGGGCACAGCCCTAAACCATACCAGACCACTTGTCCTCAACATTGGGAAAGTACCTTGCAATGGGTAGAAGGTGGCAAAGCCTTTTCCTCCTTTGATCTCATCTTGTCCCACAAAAGGGATCTGGAGATGGGGGAGATCTATCAGAATTTAGCAGACCCCCCAGATATCTGGGCCCCCCTAAGAGGATTGAGTACAAATTAACGCTTGTTGTGCTCTCCCACAAAACAGCAAATCTACAAAAACATCTACACTGCGAGCATTTATTTGAAAAAAGGAAATAAAGAATGTCCCCCAATGTAAATCCAATCACATGGTCCAGCAATGACCCGCTGCCCAATGATGTTGACCCATCAACATGACACCCCCACCTCCCCATTATGTTCATCTGATTCGCCAACACTACAAAATGACAGATCTCGGCTGCTGTGTGTATACCAACTGGACCGGGATCCCGGATGATGTCCTTGACCAAAAATGGTCATGCCGTGTCCTATAAATAGAACAGGAAGTGAAATAATTTTTTTCTTAGACAGTTTTCACTAGAACAAGTGTCCCCATATATATGTCTATCTTATTTTAATGATGTAAATGAATGAAATAAATTATCACTTAAACATTTTGTAACAAAACAAATTTCACATTTAGATCCCGAGATCGCAGTGTTCTGAGGACTGTTTACCTGGAAACAGACAAGTGCCGAGCTCAGATACATTTGAATGTTGTTATGGTTGTGTGCCATGCTCAGAAGGAGAGATGTCCAATGTAACAGGTGCATTTTATTATAACTTTTAAAGACTTTTGTTAGTGGTAAAAATGATGTTAAATATATTGGAAGCGTGATCTGCTATATTTTATCTTTTAAGGCTGTGAACTATATATTAGTGTTATATTATGTTTGATAATGTCACGGGTCACTCCTCTTCTCTAATGGCTGTTAGCAGTCCTTATACCTGAACAATGTGACACTCACATAATAAGGAGTGCTGGGAGCCCCAGACGTACACCCTTAGGTGGCATATCCCTGATGGCCTGGGCTTACAGGAATGGTGACCTGGACTTCCTTCAGATGGACTAGGTGCGATATTTTCCATTATATTATTTAAAAAATGATAGCCGTCAGTCCATAGTTCCACATTAGCACACCAACATTGTAACTCATCTAATAGAGAAAGATAACAATAAACTTACTAGATGAAGCCAAACCTGTTCACTCAGCAACCATTATATGCTCTGAGATAACAATTTTGACTTTATCCGCTGACTATATTATTTTACATAGTTGTTGGCACCGGATGTAATACACAAGCCCACAAAAACTCAATCAAAGTACACAGGGCATGTGTAGTATTCCAATTCCATAAAAAAGAGAGAGACCAGCGCCAAAAGAAACCCTCCTGTGGCCCAAAAAGTTTCTTAAAATCCAGTACAGCTGCCCTGTTACAGATGAGGGATCCTGAATGTTGCATAAAACATAAAACAACACCGGACGCCTGTCGTGGTGCAATAAACCTTTTTTTGGTAAAAATAAGTGTACAATAAATTATACTCTGTTGCATGCGTATAGGATATGATATTATGAGATTCATGTTTTTTCACATAAACAAATGGGTGGACCTCTACAATTGTATTCCAGTACACTTTCTAATCCATGTACATTTTACATATGAATTGGTTCTGATATTGGGATAATAGCATTTCAGTCTTAGATATGGAGGTGTGATTCCAAGCTGATAGAGTTTTTGTCTTATACTGATGATAACTTGTCTTTATCTTTTATTGCTATCACTTTGTTGTTTTGCATTTTAACTTTTTTAATAATGGGTATATTTATTTCTTATGGTGATACCCCCATTGTGAGGGCAAACAACAAGAGCCTCAGCTTTGTCCTTCTGGTCACCATCTCATTGGGTTTCCTCTGCGTCTTCTTGTTCTTGGGTCGCCCCATGGATACAACCTGCAGGCTACGCCAAGTGTCTTTCGGAATTCTTTTTACCATCGCGGTCTCCTGTGTATTGGCCAAGACTGTAATGGTTTGGCTTGCTTTCAAAGCCACCAAACCGGGCAGTGTGTGGAAACAGTGGGTTGGAGTAAAACTGCCCAATTTGGTTGTCTTCATCTGCTCATCATTCCAAGTTGTCATCTGCATTGTATGGCTCGCGATCTCTCCCCCCTTCCCAGAGCTGGACACACGTTCATATCAAACAAAGATCATCATTCAGTGTAATGAAGGGTCAGTCGTTGGGTTCTACTCTGTCCTGGGATATATGGGGATCCTGGCTGCTGTCAGTTTTATTACAGCTTTTCTAGCGAGGACATTACCGGACAGTTTTAATGAAGCCAAGTACATCACCTTCAGCATGCTGGTGTTCTGCAGTGTCTGGATTGCCATGATCCCGGCCTATCTGAGCACCAAAGGGAAATATGTAGCGGCCGTGGAGATTTTTGCTATACTGACCTCAAATGCCGGACTTCTATTTTGTATATTTCTTCCAAAATGCTACATAATTATTTGTCACCCCAATTTAAATTCAAAGAAGCATTTGCTTGACAACAGAGGCAAATAATTTTGTGTACAGTAACATTAGAAATGTGAACCTCCATGAATAATGAAATACTTTTTTACTGATACCCCAAACATACAGTATATTGGTAAAAAAAAAAAGCTTGATAAAAATAAACCTTTATGAAAATTAAAAGTTGCCTCCGCTATACCTTCCGATGCTTCTGGGAGGTACCAGTGACATCATCATGCCTCACCGCTACCTTTATGTTTAACATGAATTATTAAGCAGATATGTATTTAGGGGCCTGTCAGGAAAGCAGACCTTTATTTTTCATTTGCTTTAAGGCTTGAACACAACGAATGACGCACTAGTAGGATTTTGTAGAATACTTTAAAGTATTTTTCTTCTGTAGTGCTGTGCCATTGGTAGTCCTTTGTTTTAACGTAATGTATGTCATTTGTTTTAAATTAAATTAAACATGTTCACAGTTTTAAAAAAAATAAAACCACACAGATATCTTCACTGATTTTGAAGAAAACATGTTTGTTATTAAAAGTTATCAAAAAGGAATACAACTCTACAGGAAAGTATTGATATGTACCCAGAAATAACTAACTACGGTCTGTAATAAGGTCTAATTAAGTGATACGTCCATCTAGGGTTGCCACCTTTTCTTCAGGCCAAACCCGAACA